TAAGAGTCTCATAAGGGCTGGAAATGTGGCTTAGAGGTAGAGTGCTTGCCTAGCATGCATGAAGCCCTGGGTTTGATTCCTCAGTACTATAGAAACAGAAAAAGCCAGAAGTGGTACTGTGGCTCAAGTGGTAGAGTGCTAGCCTTGAGCTGAAGAGCTGAGGGACAGTGCCCAGGCCCAGAGTTCAGGCCTCCTGACCGGCAAAAAACAACAACAACAACAACAAAATTTATCTTTCAAATGTAGGAAAATGTTATGTGATTTCACAGAAGCATTTTTTATCAGATAGAAAAGGGGCTAAAGCAGGGTGCCAGTGACTCATGTCTGTAATCCTATCTACTCAGGAGCCTGCAATCCTAGCTACTCAGGAGGCTGATATCTGAAGATCACGGTTCAAAACCAGCCTGCACAGGAAAGTCTGTGAGATTCTTTTTTTTTTTTTTGGGTCCGGTTGTGGGGCCTGAACTCTGGGCCTGTCCCTCAGCTCTTCAGCTCAAGGCTAGCACTCTACCACTTGAGCCACAGCACCACTTCCGACTTTTTTCTTTTTGCTTATGTGGTGCTGAGGAATCAAACTGAGGGCCTCATGCATGCAAGGCAAGCGCTCTACCACTGAGCCACCTTCCCAGCCCCTCTTTTTTTTTTTTTTTTGCTGGTGCAGAGGCTTGAACTCAGGCTCTGGGTGAGCACTGTACCACTTGAGCCACACTGCCGCTTCTGGCTCTGAGTAGTTTATTGGAGATGAGAGTCTCATGGACTTTCCTGTCTGAACTGGGCTGTTTTCAAACTGTGAATCTCAGATCTCGGCTTCTTGAGTAGTTAGACTTACAGGCACAACCCATCGGTGCCCATACACTTGTGAGACAAGTTTTATCTCCACTAAAAATTTTTAAAAAAAAGCTGGGAGTGGAATTGTGGCTCAAGTAGTAGAGCACTAGTCTTGAGAGAAAAGGTCAGGGAAAGCTCCCAGGCCCCGAGTTCAAGCCCCAGGATCAGCCTCAAAAAAAAAACCAAAAACAAATAAATGGTGAAATGCAGGTCCTGGACGCTGGTGGCAGAGTGCGGAGCACTGTCCGGGTCTTCTAGAGAACCTGTGGACAAGAAGCTATTGTGCAGACTAGGTAAGCAGAAGACAGACGGTGACAGGTGTTAGACGGCAGGTAGACACCTGACAGACTAACACCGCATTTCGCGTGTACAAGTCTGGATGAGAAACAGTAGTAGATACGGAGCTGACTGACCGCAGAAAGGCAGGAAGAAGAACCCAAGATCCTAGAGGCGACGATCAGCTTTATTTGCCAGTGAAATACCACGCTTCCTACTCAAGGCTTGAAAATACCCGAAAACTGACGGAAACAAACGAGAGGACACGCCGGCCCTTGGCGAACCGCACCGGGAAACAACTCGGTGTGCGGCGGGCCCGCGGGTGTTGCCGGAAATGGCTCTCGGCGGCGGTCCTCCGCCGGGCAGCCGGGGAAGGGGGCGTGGCCGACTTCGCACGCTGAGTCTCTCGAGTGTTTCCGGAAACTGCCGAAAAGCCAACTGGAAGTGGGCGTGGCTACGTCGCCGGGCGTGGCCAGTCTGATGGGCGTGTCTCAGTGGCTCCGGAGGGCCGGGAGTTGCTTCGTGGATTTCCGTAAACAGAGCCGAAGCTCGGCGTTCGGAGTCGTGGAGGTGTGCGCGTTCCTCGGGGGTTACCGTCTTCGGCTGTTTCCGGCATTCACCGGTAGTCCCTAGTGGGGAGGAGAAGGAGCCGCCCCCTCTCGTTCCTAGTTGCTTCGGAGATTTCCGGCGGCGGCCGGCGGAAAGAGCCGAAGGCCAGCGGTGGTGGCGGCCATGTTGGGAGCAGCAGGTCCGGTGGCGGCTGCCTGTGTGCCGGGCGCGGAGCAGTGCGGCTGAGGGCAGGGGAGGAGCGAGGCGGGCGGCCGGCTGCG